TTCAAAGTTGGCAGACCAACCGTATTGTCCAGTTACAAGAACGCATGGCGACACTGAAATACGATTTGATACAAGAATCTAAAAAATAAAATAGATTTTAAAATAATTAAAATAAAAAACTTGTTATCACCTTTAAATAAAAAAAAATTTTTTTTGCCTTTTCAACGTTATCACCAAGAATTTCTTTAATTTGCTTGCACAAATAATTATATTTCCTAATTTCTTCTTTACGCAGTTTTTTTTCTTCCTCATCTTCATCAATCTCAAGCCCTTCTTTTGTGATACATACAAGTTTCTTACCATCGTATTCTTTAAGTTGCGAAACAGTATATTCATCGATGGGGTCGGTCATAAGTAAGACTTCATACCCTCATTTTTTTAATACCTCCAAAAATGGTGAATTCTTAACAGCCTGACGATTTTCTCCTGTAATGTAGTAAATTTCTTTTTGTTTTTCTGGCATGCGCGTCATGTAATCTTTTAGAGAGGTAAGTTTATCGGTAGATTTTGTAGAATAATAACGAAGAAATTCGGCTAATTTGTACTGATTCTGAGAATCTTCATGAATTCCAAGCTTAATGTTTTTGGAAAATGCTTCATAGAATTTTGCGAAATTTTCCCTGTCCTCAGCAATCTCAGAAAACAGCTCTATATATTTTTTCACTATATTTTTACAAATAACTCTAAGAATTTTGTTCTGTTGAAGCATTTCTCGAGAAATATTAAGCGGCAGATCTTCTGAATCAACTATTTCTTTGATGAAGTTAAGATATTCAGGAATTAAATCTTCACAATTGTCTATAATAAAGATGCTGCATGTTTTTTCTTAGTTTCAAAGAGATCGGATGGAGCACGACATGGTACGAATAGAATTGTTCTGAATTCTAGTTGACCTTCGACAGAGAAATGCCTAACGGCCAATTGTTCCTCCCAATCATTAGTTAGAGACTTGTAGAATGCAGCATATTCTTCATATTTAATATCATCAGAATTTCTTTTCCAGATAGGTTTAGTTTTGTTTAACTCTTCGATTTCTACTGTCTTTATCTTCTCTTTATCATTTTTCTCATCTTTTTCAACTTTCTTTTCAACAATAAGTTGGATCGGGTGGCCAATGAATTCGAAGTGTTTCTTTCAACCTCTCTAATTCTATATTCTTCAAGATATTCTAATTGAACTTCTTTGAGGAACAATTTAATAAGTGTGCCTCGGCCAATTGGTTCATTATCTGTATCACGAGCGATGGTGAATGATCTACTGGCTGACAATTCCCAAATATACTGTTCATCATCATTGTGCTTTGTGATCACTTGAACACAGTCCGCAACCAAGTAGGCAGAATAGAAACCAACACCAAACTGACCAATCATAGAAATGTTAGCACCAGATTGCAAAGCTTCAATAAAATTCTTAGTACCTGAACGAGCAATAGAACCAAGATTATTCACAAGTTCGGTCTAAGTATGTATTCATTGTTAACATAATCAACTATCATTTTTCGAACAATATCTTTGATCGTTTTGTGTGATAATACCTTGGGTATGCCAATTCCAGTATCCCGTAATATAAGAACATTATTTTCCTTGTTAGGAATGATTCGGATATAAAGTTCATGTTTGTTATTAAGTTTTGAAGAATCAGTAAGTGATTCATATCGAATTTTATCCAAAGCATCTGAAGCATTAGATATTAATTCACGAAGGAAAATCCTACATTATGAGATTCAGAAATAGAAACGCGCTTGCATTTTAAGTCATAACACATTGCAGAAATTATACACTTGATTTTAAAATAATATTTAAACTGCGTTTTTTTCACTTCAAACTTACTCTTTATTTGAGTAGAAAGTGTTAATAATAATTGACATAAGCTGAGATATCTCAGCTTGAAAGACAAATTGTTCAGCTTCAGCCATTCTGCGTAAATACATTGAGGTGTATGTATAAATATGGTTGTGTTTTTATAGCGGAACTCTCAAAAATCACTATACTGGTCAACTCTCTGTAGAGTATGTGGTTAAAATTTAAGAATCCAAAGGTTTTCAACCTCAGAATTTACTGTAATAGCACGGAATTAGAGTGTCCAGAATTCTGAGGTGCATAATTCTGCTTGTTTTAAAAATATCTTTTTGTATTGTCTCTGTAAGATAAATGTGACTTTAATCATTTTTTAAAGCCAAATACAATACAAAAAAATATTTTTAGAGCGAGCAGCATTATGCACCGCAGAATTCTGAACACTCTACTTTAATCATTTTTTAAAACCAAATACAATACAAAAAAATATTTTTAGAGAGAGCAGAATTATGCACCGCAAAATTCTGGACACTCTATACAGAATATATGTTATATTTTTTTAATTGACATTGTACATGTTAAATTTTTTGTAAATATAGTAATATATTGTTTCAATTAGATAAATGTTCAAATATAATTAAATTTTTATTGAAAAAGTATGAATTATTTTATTGCAATATACAACATTAATTCAATCAGTTTAAAGTTCGTTCATTTATTTAATTTACTTATTATAATCTTTTTGGATGGATTAATTCAATCGGAATTTTTGATAATTCAAAAATCCCAGGTACGTAGGCGTAGTGTTACGGGGTGATTCGTATGTTTGATAATTTAGATGATAAGGCAACTCGTCAGAGGCGTGATGTTGGTGATTTGACAATAATTTATTTATTAAAAGGATTTATCAATAGGAATTTATTCAATGTATTATAGAAGGAATATTGAAATCCTGTAGGATACCTTTTACAAGAGAGAAATTACAGGTTTTTATAACTTCTAGGATTCAGGAGGCTTAGGGATTAAAACATATTACATCATTAAAGAATCAAGGAAAACTATTCTAAATTAAGGGGCTTACAATGATAATTACAAGAAAATCAGAAGGTTTTGCTTCACTCTTGCAACATTCCATATTGCAAGGACTTGATTCTGATTTCAGTTTCTTGTTCTTCGCTCTTTCTTCTTTACGCATTCAGGCTCTTCGGATTTCACGTTGGTTGTTAATCATCTTCGGCCAATAAGCCTCAACCGATAAACCAGTTATTCGGCCTTGTTTCTGATGATAGTCACGAGTTTACTGCGCCTGATTCATAGATCCACTTTTAGCCTGTGATAGCAGTATTGCAAACAGCTAGCTTGACGTGGAAAACGGCTTGCTATAACAGAGGTGGGCTATTTTTAAAGCGAGCCACTTTTTAACCGAGCTGTATTCTAAATGAGTTGTTTGGTGTTTGTGCAAAGATATGTATAGTCCCTAATTAAATCAACTATTAGACCAGTTTTTTACTATGATCGTATTTGGTAACAAATCTTTAAAATATGCCTATCGCTATTAATTTTTTCGAGCTTAAAAA